AATAGAAAGGTTGATTAGAGAGATGCTGGAGGCAGAGATCATTAGACCCAGCATCAGCCCCTTTTCGAGCCCAATTTTGTTGGTGGAAAAGAAGGATGGCAGCTGGCATTTTTGTATGGACTACAGAGCACTCAACAAGGAAACAGTACCTGACAAGTTTCCTATACCAGTCATTGACGAGCTGGTAAATGAATTGAGTGGGACCGTGATCTTCAGCAAGATAGAATTAAAATCGGGTTACCATCAAATCCGAATGGAGTATGTACCCAAAACGTCCTTTAAGGACATTATGAGTTCCTGGTGATGTCATTTGGCCTCACCAATGCTCCAGCTACTTTCCAGGCCCTTATGAATACGGTTTTCAAATCTTATCTCAAACGATTTGTATTAGTATTCTTTAACGATATCCTGGTCTATAGCAGGACAAAAGAGGAGCACTATGAGCATTTGAAGAGGGTGTTAGAGGTACTGCAGGAGCACCAGCTGAGGGATAATTTGAAGAAATGCTGCTTTGCACAAGCCAGTGTAGAGTACTTGGGCCATATAATGTCAAAAGAGGGAGTTGCAGCAGATCAGTCCAAAATTAAAGTAATTATACGGTGGCCAGTGTCGAAAAATCTGAAGGAATTGAAGGGATTCCTAGGACTGACGGGTTACTACATGAGGTTCGTTAAAAGGTACATCTCCATAGCATGGCCACTCACTGAACAGTTGAAGAAGGACTGGTTCCTATGGGGGGAGGCAGCCACATCAGCATTTGAGAGCTTGAAGAAGGCGATGACCACGGTGCCGGTCCTAACCTTGCCAGATTTCACTCAGACATTCATTGTGGAGACAGATGCTTCCAGGTATGGGTTGGGTGCAGTACTGATGCAGAGTCGTAGACCCATTGCCTATTTCAGCCAGGTATTGACTGCTAGAGCCCGACTGAAATCAATTTAAGATAGAGAATTAATGTACATCATCTTGGCCATTTAGAAGTGGCGGCCCTACCAGCTTGGGATGCATTTCATTGTCAGGACAAATCAATGAAACCTGAAATACCCGCTGGAACAACGGATGACGATGGAAGAGCAACAAAAGTGGTTGTCCAAGTTGCTAGGGTACGATTTTGATATTCAATATAGACCAAGGTTGAAGAACAAGGTGGCGGACGCTTTGTCCATATATATGGGGGAACTGTAGATGGTGACACTATCCGTTCCTTTGATGCTTGACTGGGAGGCCATCGGGGAAGAAAGTGCTAGAGATGAAAAATTGGGAATGATCAGGTCAGATTTGTTGAAAGTGGAGGGTAGCCATCCAGGGTACTCATTAGAGGGAGACAGACTGCTGTACCAGGAAAGATTTGTGATGCCCCATACCTCGATCCACATCCCAAATTTACGCCAGGAATTTCATGGAAGCGCAGTTGGGGGCTATTCAGGAGTGCATAAGACCTAAAAGGGACTAGCAGCCGAGCTTTATTGCAAGGAAATGCATAAAGATGCAGATGAGATGGTGGCAAGGTGTGAGATCTGTCAGAGGAACAAATATTTAGATGTCACCAAGGGGGCTACTACAGCCGTTGGCGCTACCGGGACGAGTATGGGAAGAGATATTCATGGATTTCATAGATGGGATGCCCCGCTCAGAAGGCTTCACAGTGATCTTGGTGGTGGTGGATAGATCGAGCAAGTATACTCATTTCATCCCCCTCCAACATCCTTACACCGCGGTGACAGTGACTTCAGCATTCATTAGAGAGGTGGTCAGATTGCATGGCGTACCAGAGGCGATCGTGTCAAACAGAGATAAGTTGTTCCTCAGCCATTTTTGGAGGGAATTATTCAGGTTACAGGGGACAGTTCTGAAGAGGAGCACCGCTTATCACCCACAGACAGATGGCCAAACGGAGGTGGTCAATAGGAGCTTGGAGACCTACTTGAGATATTTTGTGTCGGAGACACCCAAGCTTTGGAACAAGTGGTTATCTTGGGCGAAGTACTGGTAATACACCTCTTTTCACTCGGCTTCACAGATGACTCCATTCAAAGTGCTGTACGAAAGGAACCCCCCTCACTTGTTGCACTTTGAGAGTAGTAGTACTCCAGTTTCTTCAGTGGAGTACTTGGAGGAAAGGGATCGAGTACTAGAGGAATTGAAGAAACATCTACTGAGAGCTCAATAGATTATGAAGAAACAGGCTGATGTGCATAGAAAGGACATCCAGTTCGAAGCAGGAGAGAAAGTGTTCTTAAAGCTTCGACCATACCGGCAAAAGACAGTTGCCAACAAGAGAAATGAAAAGCTCACTCCAAGATACTTTGGACCTTAGGAAATATTGGAAAAAATCGGAGTAGCAGCATATCGGCTGAAACTACCACCCACAGCAACTATTCATCCGATTTTTCATGTGTCATAGTTTAGAAGAGCCATTGGAGATTACACAGCCAGCTCAGAGTTACCGGTCACGCTTACGGAGGATTTAGAGGTGATTATGGAACCCTTAGAGTTGATGGGGGGTCGTTAGAAAGAAGATGGAGCGAAAGAAGTGCTGGTCAAGTGGAAGAATCTGCAGGACCACGATGCCACGTGGGAGCCATACGAGAGGGTGAAACAGCAGTTTCCTAGTTTTCACCTTGAGGACAAGGTGATTCTTTGGGAGGGCGGTATTGATAGGCCGGTTCATCCTGAATCGGCCTAGGAGCCAGCCCAAAGGCCGGCTCAGTATTACAGGAGGTGGAACAAGGGGTCCGCCCCTTTGATTCCGCCTAGATGTGGGGCCCGCATGAAAATTTTGGGAAGGAGTGGGCGGCTAGGGGAGAGGGAAATTTTGAATGAGAGATATTTGAATTAGGTTTGTATTAGGAAATTAATTGTATTATGAGAGGGATTGGTCTAGGGTTAGTTTTTATGCTTTTGTTTTGTACTTCTCTTGGAATTTCTTTAGCGTCTTGGGCTCTATGCATCTTGTCTAGAGATTGGGAGAGAACGATCCTCCTCTCAAATTGAGGATCAATTGTATCTTGCTTGGCATTTGTTTTGGTTTTGTTATCTTCTCGCAATCCATTGTTTTGGGACTGTTTTTGCCCGGATTTTGCAATTATCTCGCTGTTTTCACCAATTAGAGATAGGTTTGCTTGCGAACTCAAGTATTTCCTATCACATAACCAATGGAATTACTACTTAATATTATGCTCCCAATTATAAAGACAAAAATTTCGAACTTTCACCAAGATAACAAAATATCAAAACGGATGAATTCATTTATAAAATCAAGCTCCCCTCAATTATAAAGACGAACATTTCGAACTTTCAACCAGGTGACAAAATATCAAAACTAGAAGTTAATCTATTAAATCAATATCCTGACTATACTGAAACATACTTCGAGCCAAATCTCTAATAATGGGTACGATTAAAAGCACAATATAAACCTTAGGATATCTTTATTATAAAAATAAATTCTAAAATCGGTAAAAAAATTTAGTTTCATCTCTTTCTCGATAGGCACAATCATTGCAAATCATACCAAAAGGGAACTCCATTCAAATATAAGACCCTCTCAAAAAATATGACATAAAATATAAAATATTAAATCCCTAAAGTGGCGTAATAATCAGTTGCTTCACACTCAGAGCCTTCATCCATCTATCCTCTACACTAATTTAATAAGTATGACAAGGATGACAAATCAAATTTGACTAAACTCATAAAGGATCAATGTTGTACCAAGCATATTCATATGATCAAACCCAAACATCTCATTTTATAAAAGCTGCAGAATGTGCCCCTTAACTAGAATATTAGCCAAATTGCAATAACACCAATATATTATGCTTGTAGCCTAATCTTGAAAACCCGCTAACAACTAAGCCTACTAAGTTGTGAGTCAATAAGGCAAGCTAATAGAGCATGAATCCCTCTATTTGACAAGGAAGATCTTAAAATTGGCTCTTCAATAAGTTTTCATCCATGCCTACAAGGCCTTCATAGACGATGCAACCCATGGTTGGGTGAACTACCTCTAATTAAGTAGAACAATTTCCATGATAATCCAAGATGACTAAACCAAAAGATTTTGATCAGATTCATCATCATTCCCAATACTATCAGCTTCAAGCCAATAACAACATATTATTTCCCAAATTGCCATCACTAAAATAAATTATTTTAAAATAAATATACTAGTCTTAATTGAAAATTTTCTCTGGTGATCGAGACGAGTAATAAAATGTAGGAGCTTTCTCTTATGATAAACTTAGAATCATATCATAAAGTTTTTATTAGAGGATGATATCTCTGAATAGCGTCTTAACTAAACATCAAATTTTTCATCAAAAAAAATTAACCCAAAATCACTTGAATATGACAACTTGGTTAGAGATTTTTAGGGTCCACACCCACCCAAACCTAAACAGGACTATTAGGCGAAATCTTTCACTACGCTTGGGTTGGCCATGAGAAAGCTTAATGCATAGGGCATACCCATAATAGGTCGAGACATATTCATAATCAACCTACTCCAGTTGACTTCAATAATAATGATAATATTACCAAACCTAACGGCATCATGACTCAAATAGGTGGACACATAAAATTCCACCTCAAACACCGCCCTTCTCACCTCTTCCAGGCACTGAGCATATCTACGAAGGCTCTAAAAAGTGTGGCAATACAGCAAAGTTGTCATACGAGAGGCAGCGCCATCGCCATCTCTTTAGCTGTTGAATAAAAATCTTGCAATATGCTAGTTAGTGCTTATGAACACTACAAAACAACAAAGTAGTTTCAGCTATATCTAACATTTTATATGCAAACATCTAGAGAAGCATCATTGCATTCAGATTTAACTAAACCTTGGTACCTAAAATGCTCAAAAAAAATTGCAAAGAAGCACTTGCCAAAACCCATCGAATTAGAGAACGGTTTGAGATAGCACAAGAAATGTTCTCAACATGGTAAAAAAGTTTATGAAACATCATTTTTAAGCTAGAGATTAACTGAACTGAACATACCCTAGATGTTGGCTGAATCCGACGGTTAGATCTACGGGGCTCCACGGCTCCACGTATTGCCTTTCCATGATTTCCAAGTCCTTTATCATCACCTTTGGATGTCCTATTCAGAATAGGTTTTGCTTTCACAGCTAAATCTGATTCAGAACCTAGAATATTCTTTTTCTTTGATGATAGAGCAGTAGGTGCAGACAGCACCGACGATGCTGACTCCGCAGCTGGAATTTCAGCTTGGTGCAGGGAAGAACCAAATTTAAATGTATTCGTCTTGTCTAAACTGTTGCTATTACTGCTGAAACTGGATATGGCATTTTCAAGATTCTCATGTCTGGGTGCATCATTTGATGTAGTAAGCAAACCATCGGTCTTCTCAGCGTGACTTGTAGCTTGAATGCACTGTGAATTATCAGCTTTAACCCCAACTCTAGACTTGCTGTCGCCAGGCTTCTTTCCTTTAGTATCAACTTTTGAGGTATTCTTAAACTTTTGAGATGCCTGTGGCATCAAATATTTTGTAAATTTGATGGGATCACTACCTTCTCTAGCCTTCTCACATTTATCAGCTACATAATGCTTGCTGACTTCCATGAACTTCCGTTTCTTTCCAGGCCTTGGAACCCCAAAAACCACCCTTGATCCTTCCTTCTGCAAGCCTGTCCGTTTTGCTTTAAATGCATTGGAAGTAACCACCTCCCTTGAATCCTTTCCAATGGAAAAGGTTCTCTCCTTCGCAGATAAAATTAATGATCTCGAGTCAGGTTTCCTAGATGCATCTATAAGCATATTCTTTGAAAGCTTTCCCATTCCAGCAGCATCAGCTTCCGATTGATTCATTGTCTCAAGCCCGCCTAATCTTTGTCGTTTCTCTTGTGGAGTATCACCCTGATAGTAAACAAAATACATGCTAGATGTTATATCAACTAAACCAAAGGAACTGTAAGTAAATGAAGTAAAAGAGCTAAAATAAGAGAATGCAAACCTCATGTGGCTTGGGTTGCTTTTCCATAGAGTGGCACCACTCCATCCATTGTCCATCCTTCCAGATAAGTGAAGGGCGAACACTCCATGCATCAACAACCAGCTTGTCATCTTTAGCTGCTAGTACAGTTGAAGAGTTAAACCATACAAAGCAGTAAGCAAAGGTTCATCATGCATCATGGATAAAAACAAATGTAACCAATTTTGTTAGTTCGAATGATTATGAAAATCTAAGGATCGTTTGCACATAAAAGTGCATGGACAACATCTCTAAATCAAGTAGTGCCAGTACAGTTGACATATTTAGCCTATAAACATACAATGAGAAGGGTACTTCATTTTAAAATCGAATGATTATGAATATTTTCTGAGATTATAGGTAGTTTCCTATTTTAATTTTTGTACAGTCATGACAAATTTATTATTTCGTTTTGTAGCTTCTATTGTAGCCATGTATTATAGTGTAGATATATTTTAATGAAATAAAAAAAATGAGTTTATTTTCGGTCTTTAAATGTTTTAGTAACTCTAAAGTCTATAGTTTATTTAAAACGAATATTGAAAAAGAATCTAAAACATTTCAAAACTAGATCTTGAGATTTTCCTGTCACATCTTAACACGATAGAACCTATCCTAATCGGGTTGAGTTGTGACACGCCAGCTCCTTTAGGGTAGAATAAAGTCCTTCTAATATCTCTATAGCCTCACCATCAATATCCACGATCAACTCCCTACTTACGGAAGTAGTGTACTTCACCATCTATGTGCTCACCAACTCTTCGGTCACCATAAGCATGCATTGGACCGTAGCAGTGAACTGCCTTACCATCAAGAAAACCATCTTCTTCCCCACCATGTGCATTGTCTAGGCAACTCCACATAATAGGATTGTTCCATATGCGAGCTTCAAATCCAGCAAATTGACTTCAGTTCAAATCCGACAAGCAAGGTTCTCAATGATGATTATGTCAGTGACAGTGAAGAAGGCGAGAACGCGAGTTAAGAAGTGACATTCGTCACACACGTACACGGTTTCTGCTCGCTCCCTCTCTTGATCCTCTTTTTCACTCAGTTCGGCCCCCAGGTAGGCACGCACGAGAGGGGTTTCGTGTGCCTTCTCTAGCCGCACGCAGAAGACCGAAAAGGGAAGCCCTCTCACTTGCTCGACTGCTCTGAACGTAAGCGAGTAGGAAGCAAAACACAAGAACCGGCTCGCCCTTGATCACAAGCAACATTGAGCGCAAGCCCGCTCAATCATCTTCTAGACACATCTGTAGAATCTTCTGGCTTCATGCCTCTCTAGTCCCATTCAATCGCACACATGCGACAGGGGTTACGAGTTGTTCGTCTCTCTAAATCGAAAGTAGAGACCACGGGGTTCTCGTTTGACTCCTCAAAACGAGACGCACTAGAAGTTAGTCTCTCTTGATCAAGTTGGAATACGTTCCCTTTCGTTTCTAAAAGAAAGGTTGGGCCTTCCCTTCAGACAATAAAAAAACTCGGAATTACGGCCAAGGCAATCAAGGCTCTAATACCATGTTAAATTCAGAGAATTTGAGAGGGAAAATGCTTAATTTTATTACACAAAAATATCACTATACAATAATACATAATTGCCTTAATATAATCTTTCCTAAATCAGCCGCCCAAATATAGAAGGAGATCGGAGTGATCCAGGTGAGCCTCCCATGGATCCCCATGCTGGTCAAGGGATCAAGGGCCAAGTTACGACTGAGATTTAACAACATGATCCACGTGAGCCTCCCATGGATCCCCATGTTGTCCATGGGAAGGGATGGTTAGGATTTTGACAGTAACATAATGAGACGGCTAGCATAGAGGACTGAGACATTGATCATAAACAAGAAACCATCCAAACTTTCTCGTTTTGCTCCTCTTTTTCATCTCCTCTAACCTTTTCAGATATAATAGTTGATTAAACTCGAAAAATATTCAATATGCTGGCAATAAGAAGATTTTCTCACCCGCCATGAGTCTAATTTAATAAAACAAAATAATACAAGTTAAGCATTTTCTCTTCACAAGCAAAGTGGTAAATGTTATGCTTATGCTTTATTTAACGTATGAAAAAAAAAAAGATTTGACCTGAAAATTTTCAATTTTTTTAGCAAAACAGCACTCGTTTCTGTGTTAAATGAATTCAATTAAATGCTAAAAAAGCCTCAATCACCAAAAAAAAACTCCTTGTAAGCCGCCAAAATTATACAAGGTATCATTATAGTTTCCAATGAACAACACATTAATGTATGTTGGCTCCATTAACATGGTTATGTCAGATTTTCACATGCCCGATACCGAGCACATAACGGAACAAGAAATCGAGTAAAAGATAATCATAACAACGAAGAACCATATAGCAATAAAAGCAACACAACATCCTGATAAGGCAGAACAAAGAAGCAAAACCAGTATCCAAATATGAGCAAATACAAACAAAGGGTTGTTAGATCAATAAAAGACAAACTCTGTAAGAGGAAGCCACTCAACGGAGGCAGCCCAAATGAAGAAGATAACGGAGAAAAACAATATAGGGAATCTTGAACAGAGAACGCAAACCCATAAGCATAATCAAGGCCCAGCGAAAAAAATTAGAAACAGTGCAAATTCTGAAATTAAAACCAACATAAGTTTCAAAGAAAGAACCATGCATGTTTATGAAAATAAAAATCATCACAGCTCCCATTTCCCCAACAAACCAACAACGAAAGTGAAGTCACCAAAAAAACAACACCTTGAACAGAGTAATGTTTTTTGTCTTTTTTTTTTCAAAACATTTATTTTCTTTAAATTAAAAAAAAAAAAAGGCAACCCACAAATCAGAGGCAAACGGGAATGAGAAAAAGATGAAAAAACTCAAAAGAAAAAGATTTCCAAAAACAAAACACAGCAGCAGCACGAAGGAAGGAATTCCTAAGAAAGTCATCAACGCAGCTTTTCTTCCCTCAAAATATGAAGAAGGAACAAATTGAAGAAAATTTTGCAGAAGAAAAAAGTGAAAAGACTTTCTAGAAGAAGAAAGATGTTGCTAAATAGTGATAAGTTGAAAGGATGATCAAGAAAAATCTGAATTCGCAATCTCAGAAAACACTAATAGGAGGGCGGGGAAATTCCCTTGAGAGTGCCTGAGAGGAGAGACGAGAGAGAGCCACAAAGAGATGCTAGAGAGAGTACCACAGAGGGTAAAGGAGAGACAACCGGAAGAACTCGGCGAATGGAAGATCATAATGCATATTTAAAATATCAAAACATATTCTAGCAATTTGTTTTGTGGAATGGAAACAAAACTTGCTTTACAAAGGGATGGTGATGCATGCATTCTACCACTATCATCAGGCGATCCTAGCATGTTGCAGCAATGAAGAGGGAGCCATCCCACTCTGATTGCTCTTTTTGCACGTTTGAAAATGCTGATTAAGGTGTAAGCTTGTTTAAATATCTACATGCTTTAGGAGAAGCAATTATTGTTATCTTATAATTTTTCTCAAAGGATCTATAAAGAAAAATATTTGAATGTTAATTTCATAGTAAAAAACTGAGTTTCTAAATTCAACAATACAAATCCCTCATTCTTTTTTTACAAGCAAACTGGAGCATGGTTTAAAATTGCGCAATATGAGGCTCGCCTTGAGGCCCGCCTTTGCGCAATTCTAGTAAAAAACGTCTCGATGCTTACGCCTCGAGTTTTTTTATGAGGTTTGCGCCTCAACTTGGTTGAGGTCCGCCTTGAGGCCCGCTTCGCCTCACAGGCATGAGGCTTACGCCTCACACTACATATATTAAAACTTACATAAATCTTGAAGTAAATGCCCGACATTGGACTCTATAGGAGAGGAGGAAGGGGAGAGAGCAGTTCACCATAATGACGATTCAAATGAAGAACCCCTTAGTGATGACAGTGCTGATGACTTATGAGTTCTTATGTGATATGTCATTGCTATTTATTTTTGGAAATTGGAATTATATGTTAATGAAAAGAATACTGGGATTTGGAAAAGATAAAATTTTGTGTTGAACTATATTTCATGTTGTCTTATTTGATTAAGTTCAAATAGAAAAAAAAAAATGTTGTCTTATTATTGAGATATTTTGATTTCACTTAATATCTTATGTTTTTTTATGTTTTATATTATTCACTCATCAGAATATAAAAAATTATCATTTTATGTTTACGCAATCTTTTGATTTTGAGGCTTACGCCTCAAAACGCCTTGAGACTTACGCCACGTCTCACGAATGAAAAACACCTCAATACCCGAATACGCAATTTTAAACATTGAACTGGAGAGCAAGCTCATATGCATTTGTGAGTAAATAAGCTTTACAATACAGATCAAGTTTGGATCAAGCTCGTCTAAATAAAAATTTAAGTTTATTTGGGCTTAGATAAGAAGTGTAGCAAATTTTGCGCAAATAAATATCTGATTTGACTGATGTATTGGGTATAATATGGAGGTAGGTTTTAGGTTCTATTTAATTACAATCCTAGAGGAGATGATATGACCAGTTAGATCAAACAAGTACAACCGGACTAAAAAATTGTTGGCGATGGTAGAATTGGGGTAGTGCAAAGTTGATGCACACGCATACATGCTAAAATAGATACCCTACTACTCCAATTGATGCACACACTCATTAAGCTTACATCGATAATGTTGACCTCAGTATTTATACCCTAATCAATTTGATCAATCTCGACCAAAAAGTCAAACAACGAACCCGTCGCTGCACATATTGAGTTCAAAATATCTCGACCACAATTAAAATCACTCAAACATCATCCATTCTCAGAACAAACTACACCGATGCATTTATAACATTAAAATTGCCCAAAAAACGACATCCATATTAGCCAATGCAATGCAGGAAAATGAAAAAGCAAAATTTGCCTATGTGAGATGATGATGTGAAATTCAAGATGTGTGAGTTATGAGAAACTATGCTAATAAAATAATAACATGTGTTTTAATTTGATTTATTCTAATCATATTTTATTTTATTAATTATTTTTTACTTGATATTGAAAAATTCTTCTCAATTCGAGCAAAATCTCATAAATCCCATGAAAACCTCATCTACACCTGCCTCGATCCTATGG